TGTCAGGACTGGTCTCAAACTCTTGGACTTAAGTGATCCTCCTGTCTCGGCCTCCCAAAGTGCTAGGATTACAGTCTTGAGCCACTGCAACTGGCCTGATTGTTATTCTTTTTTAGTAAATCGGCTTTAATAAGACATAATTTGCATCCTACGGCACACCCATTTTAAATGCCCAGTTCAATAAGTTTTGGCAAATGTTAGCCTCCTAAGATACTCCTATAATGATGATATAGGCTGGTTCGGTGGCTCACATCTGTAATCCCAGCACTTTGGGAGGCTGAGGTGGAAGAATCACTTGAGGCCTGGAGTTCAAGACCAGCCTGAATAATATAGTGAGACACTATCTCTACCAAAATTTATTTTACAAAAAATTTTTTTTTTGAGATGGAGTTGCGCTCTTGTTACCCAGGCTGGAGTGCAATGGCACGATCTCAGCTCACTGCAACCTACGCCTCCTGGGTTCAAGCAATTCTCCTGTCTCAGCCTCCCGGGTAGCTGGGACTACAGGCATGTGCCACCATACGCAGCTAATTTTTGTATTTTTAGTAGAGACGGGGTTTCACCACGTTGACCAGGATGGTCTCGATTTCTTGACCTTGTGATCCACCTGCCTCGGACTCCCAAAGTGCTGGGATTATAGGCATGAGTCACAGCGCCCGGCCTATTTTACAAAATTAGCCAGGTGTACTAGTACACACCTGTGGTCCTAGCTGCTCCAGAGGCTGAGGTACTTGTCCTAGGAGATCGAGGCTGCAGTGAACTATGATTGCACCACTGCACTCCAGCCTGAGTGGCAGAGTGAGACCTTATCTTTAAAAATAAAATAAAATAAAAATAAAAGAGCCTGGTGTGGTGGCTCATGCTTGTAATCTCAGCACTTTAGGAGGCTGAGGTGTACAGATTGCTTGAGCTCAGAAGTTTGAGACCAGCCTGGGCAACGTGGCAAAACCCAACTCTACAAAAAAAATGCAAAAATTAGCTGGGCATGGTGGTGCACGCCTGTGGTCTCAGCTACTTGGGAGACTGAGGTGGGAGGATCACTTGAGCCCAGGAAGTCCAGGCTGCAGTGAACTGAGATTGCACCACTGCACTCCAGCCCCAGGACCAATCTGTGGTGACCGTCCGACAGGGTAGACACTGTCCCCAGCCCAAAACTGCAGGAACTTGAAGTCTTCCCCAGATTTCACTTTCTTCCTCCATAACATCTGGGGGTTGTAACGGAGGCCTTACAACTTGGAGAAGCTCTGACCTGGGGGTGTGAGCCCTGCAGCTGGTCTGGAGCGGAAGAGCAGGTGGTGCAGTCCCTGCCTCTAGTAGACCCATGCCAGCTGTGGGCCAGATGGTGGCCAGGCCTGTGAACGCTGCCTGCTGTGTCCCTGCCTGCAGGCTCCGTCAGACCACAGGTCATCCTTATTGGATGGGGCGTGTGCAGTCACCGGCATGGGCCTTCCAGGTCCCCCACTTGTCTCTGCCCCATCCCAGTGATGGCAGCCACCAGGGCTCAGGCTAAGAGCACTGGCAGAGGTCACTGGCCTCACTCTGTTGGACTCAACATCCCATCTGTTCCATCTCTATTTGGTCCCACCAGCAAAGTGCATCTCAGCTGGGACTACCTCCCACCCCCTCCATGTCCACCACACTGGGATGAGCCCTACCCATTTTTCCTGTGGATTATATGCCTCCTAACTCATGTCCCAAATTCAAGATATTGCCCCCCAATTGTCATACACTGTTAAACAGTCAGACACTGTAACACTGTTGAACTGACACTGTTAAAACCAGTGTCAGCCGAGCATGGTGGCTCACACTGTAATCCTGGCACTTTGGGAGGTCAAAGCGGACAGATCACTTGAGGTCAGGAGTTTGAGACCAGCCTGGCCAACATGGTGAAACCCCATCTCTACTAAAGATGCAAAAATTAGGCCGGGCACAGTGGCTCACGCCTGTAATCCTAGCACTTTGGGAGGCTGAGGTGGGTGGATCACCTGAGGTCAGGAGTTCAAGACCAGCCTGGCCATCATGGTGAAACCCCCATCTTTTAAAAAAAGAAAAAAAAGAAAAAAGGCCAGGCGCGGTGGCTCAAGCCTGTAATCCCAGCACTTTAGGAGGCCGAGGCGGGTGGATCACGAGGTCAAGAGATCGAGACCATCCTGGTCAACATGGTGAAACCCTGTCTCTACTAAAAATACAAAAAATTAGCTGGGCATGGTGGTGCGTGCCTGTAATCCCAGCTACTCGGGAGGCTGAGGCAGGAGAATTGCCTGAACCCAGGAAGCGGAGGCTGTGGTGAGCCGAGATTGTGCCATTGCACTCCAGCCTGGGTAACAAGAGCGAAACTCCGCCTCAAAAAAAAAAAAAGATGCAAAAATTAGGCCAGGAGCAGTGGCTCACACCTGTAATCCCAGCACTTTGGGATGCTGAGGCAAGTGGATCACCTGAGGTCAGGATTTCAAGACCAGCCTGGCCAACATGGTGACACTCTCTCTACTAAAAATACAAAAATTAGCTGGGTGTGATGGCACATGCCTGTAATCCCAGCTACTTGGGAGGCTGAGGCAAGAGAATCGCTTGAACCCGAGGGGGAGGTTGCAGTGAGCTGTGATCACAATGTAATTGCCACTGCTTACAAACCCTCTCCTTTCTCACTTCATACAGAGGACCCCAAAAATGATCCCCAAAGCCCTCTGTGACCTGAACCCCCTCCTGTTGCCTCCCACCCATTCTCCTCCCCTCTCCTCTCCCTCTTCCTCATTTTTCTTTGACAGGCCACTATCTAGGCACCCCAGGGACATTGCACCAGCTGCCCTGTGCTATGTGATCTGGGAGGACAGATAACACAGAGTGTCCAAAGTACAGTGGGTCTACAGCACACTATGCGTGTGTGCACAGCCAGGAGCCCAGAGAAACTCTTCTTTCTTATCTTCAGCTGTGTGTGTGTCTGACATGTGGGTCAAATCTGGATGTTTATGAAGTGTGCGTGCATATGGACACCATTGACTTCAGATGTTATTCGTGGAGGATGTGTCAGCTGTAGGTCTCTGCTGAGCGAGGTTTGATGCCTGCATGTGGTTCATTTGGAACAGATTCCTGCGGCGGGCTGACCAAGGGCAGGCGAGGGTGTGTGTGTGTGCAGACCTTGCTGGAACATGGGCTGCTCATGCACGTGTGCATTCAACATTTGCAGAGTGCTTACTGTGTATTGGAGAGGTCAGCAGGGCCCTTCAGCACTTGGTATCTGTCAACTTGCACAGGGTCATCTGAGAGCATTTTGTGCAACAATTGAGCACCTACTGTTGCATCAGGCCCTCTGTTGGGGGATGCTGGTTGTGTGTGGTCCAATCTGCAGAAGTCCACCCAAGCAGGCCCTTTTCTTCCTCCTAGGGGTTCTCCAGCCCCATAGCCACCTCCTTCCAGCACTGACTGTAGAGAGGCCTTTGAGCTCCTTCTGGATCCCTGCTCTCTGCCAGACACTGCACAAGTCAGAGTTTTCTGACTTGGAGGTTAAAAGAATAAATGAGCTCCAGGCTATAGAGAGGATCCTGGGAGCTTGAACCCTACCAGGCTTGGGGAGTGAGGGGTGCCCCCAAAATCTCTAGATGCTTTATAGAGGCTTATAGATGCAGGACTTTGAGCCCCGGCTGAAGGTTGGCATGTTGGGATGGCTGGGGTTGGGGACCTGAGGATGTTGGGTCTGGTGGAATGGACTTTAGGGGTGTAAGGTTTGAAGAATCTGCGGGCAGGGATTTGGGGGAGTGGGAGTTGAGATTTGAGTAGAGGATGAGAGATAATTGAATGTGGAGGGTTTTGAAGTGTGAGAAACCAGAACTGGTGTATGAAGCAGAAGGCTTGGGGACCTAAGGGCCGATGATTGGGGTCTGAGGGTGGAGGCTCTGGGAGGGTATGTCAGGGGAGGGGGGACCCATGAGGGACGGGAAGTCTGAGGCTTGGGCATGGGTGAGTTTCGCCCCTAAGAGAGGCATCGGAAGGAGGTAAGACTGGAGTCCGGGTGTGCAGGGCGGGTAGAGAGAGGGTGTGGTTCTCAGAGCTCAGAGACCCATATTTTCATACTCCACCTCGCCCTCCCGCCCACCCTACCCATGGCCCCCTTCCCTGGGTCACCTATCCTGCTCCCACGCCTCAAATTATAACCATGCCCAGCCAACGCCCCGAACACGCCCGCCAGCTCCCCAGGACACTCATAGACTCCTTAACACCTGCACGTGTGCCTCCCACCTCCTCATATCCGCGGCTCTCTTTGCCTGGCCCCACCCCTCATCAGATCAGGCTCCGCCCCCCCCAAGACCCCGCCAATCCCTCTCCCCCTCCACGTACACATCCCTGATCTTCCCCGACCCCCTGGTTGGGAGCTACCAGACCCCACCCCTAGCCCAGACCCCGCCCTTCCGCAGACTAGGCCCTCTCTTCGCTTGACCACGGCCATCCCCAGATTCCTCCCCTCCAGTGCCCAGACCTGTCCCATCCTCAGACCCATCTTCTCCTTTCTATCCCCCCGACCACGCCCCCACCGCAGTTAACTCCCACCTAGTCCCTTCTCGGAGCTGGTCCCGCCCTTCATCTTGCGTCCCGCCTCTTCCGCAGGCCCGACCCTTGTCCCGCCTCCTCTTGCCTTGGACCCGCCCATTTTTCAGACCCCGCCCCTTTTCCAGACTCCTCTGCCCAGGGACCAACCTCATCCCGTACCTACTTGTCCTGGCTCCGCTCCGGCCCCGCCTATTTACAGAAAGCACGCCCTCTGAGCCTAGAAGCTCCCCCATTTCAGACTTGGTTCAGCCCCTCACGCCCGGGCCCCGGCCCAATTCCTCACCCCTAGCCCAGGCCCCGCCCTGGGCCCACCCCTCGGCATAACAGGCCCCTCCCATTACCCCAGGCCCGCCCCGCCCCTCCGTAGACCACGCCTCTCCGGTTCCGGGCCCGCCCCAATCCTTGGTTTCTGGTCCAGGCCCCGCCCCTCCGCGGACCTGGCCCCGCCCCGCCCTCGCGTCTCGGTTTCCCGGGCCGGCGCGCGCGGCTCCCGTCACTCGCACGCGCGTCGGCGGGGGGGGAAGATGGCGGAGTCCGGCGGTAGCAGCGGCGGTGCTGGCGGCGGCGGTGCCTTCGGCGCGGGCCCGGGCCCCGAGCGCCCGAACAGGTGAGACCCGGCCCCCAGGATGGACCTGCACCTGTCTTGGAGCCCAGGGCACCTGTGGGGAGTCTTGCGCGTCCTGAGGGGAGGCCTGGCACGGCTCGAGGGTCTTTCGCTGAGAATCTGGACTTACGGGGCCGTGGGATACTGGAGGAGCCGAGCGGGGCTGGGTGCCCCAGGACCTTCAGGCGTCTGCGGGCGGCCCTAGGGACCTGAGAATCCTGGGGGTCTGAAGGGAAACCGAGGGGCTCCTGACTGTGATGGGCCATGGGGCAACCGGGATGCCAAAGGGCCTGGGTGGCAGAGAGGGCCTGAGCAGGGGCCATGGCCAATCCGAGGGTGGTGAGGTATCTTGGGGGCTCTGAGGAAGGGGCTAAGGCCCAAGGCATCCTGGCAGGTGCTGAAGGGCCTCGAGGTGGCTAAAGGTGGTCCTGAGAGCCTGCTGAGGTGCCCTGGGAGGAGTGGAGAGTGTGGGAGGCTCTGGGTGGGGGACTCAGGTGAACCTGGGAGCCTGAGATGGGGAGGCTGAGGGGACCTGGGAGTGCCAGGGCCCCTGAGGGACTGGGCTGGGCCTGGGGAGCCTGAGGTGGGTGAGAGAATCCCACGGGTTTTATAAAGAACATGGAGAGGGTTCTTCTCTGGGGCGCCTCCCTTCCATCTCCATGGGGTCCGAATTCACACCCCCAACAGGCTAAAGGACTTACAGAAAGGTCTTGCCCTCAGACAGGGGGACAGAATCTACCCCTTTGGTCAGAGGGAGGCCCCTTTCCCCATAGCCAAGTCCTGACATGGATTGTTTGAACCCCAAGATTTGCATGACAGTTATCTTCAATAACTAATGATATGTGCGTGCATGCTTTGTATTGGATTGTCAGAAAAAACACCTGCCTTAGGGAGTGTGATCTCCTGCTCTTTTCCTATTGGGCAAATCCAGACCCTCCCACCCTGGCTCCTCCTCTAGCCTGCCACCTGGGTCTGGCCAAGGAGGAAATCCAGGCTTTTTCTTGCTGGTGAACTTCCAGGAGCCAATAATTTCAGTCAACATGAGAAATGATGAAGTTATTTAATACTTATGTGCTGTGGCATTTTGGACCTCTGGTTAGTGCTGGAGGGAATGGCCTGACAGTCTGGCTGTGCGATTTGGGCTTTGGAGGCCTGGTGGAATGGGACGTGCACAGGATGGGTCAGGGAGGGAAAAGGGATGTCTGGGCTAGGGCACAGAGGAGGTAAAGCTCTGCCTGTTCCCGAGGATGCTGAGTGGCACCTTGAGACTTAGGTCTATGGGCAGATTGAGGCAGTGAATCTGGTCTACCAGAGGGGCCATGGGGAACCCAGGAGGTGTGTGTCCAGAGGGGTGACCAGCTTTCTGGGGTAGGTGTGCGGCAAGATTATCCTGCAGTAGGGAGCCAGGAGACGTCAGAGAATTTTCAGAGACATTCAGGGAATGTCTAGGGCTTGATAACTGGGTATGAATTGGCAAGTAAGAGACAGAGAAGAGGGACAGTGGAGTGGGTGCCTTGGGCACTGGAGTGGGATAACGGGGCTGGGGCTCTTTTTTTTTTTTTGAAAGCAGGTCTTGCTCTGTCACCCAGGCACCTAGGCTGGAGTGCAGTGAAGTCATCAAGGCTCACTGCAGCCACAAACTCCTGGACTCAAGTGATCCTCCCACCTCAGCCTTCCAAGTAGCTGGGAGTACAGGTGTGCGCCACCGCACTCGGCTAATTTTTAAATTTTTTGTAAAGACCAGGTCTTGCTCTGTTGTCCAGGCAAGTCTGGAACTCCTGGGCTCAAGCAGTTTTCTTGCCTCAGCCTCACTAAGTGCTGAGATTACAGAGGTGAGCCACATCTGTAAAAAAAAAAAAAAAAAAAAAAAGCATGGCTCTTTTTTCATAAACAGCTTTATTGAGATATAATTAATTGCATGGCATACAATTCATTCATTTTGTTTTTATTTATTTATTTTTGAGACAGAGTCTCGCTTTTTCACCCAGGCTGGAGTGCAGTGGTACGATCTCAGCTCACTGCAACCTCCACCTTCCAGGTTCAAGTGATTCTCCTGCCTCAGCCTACTGAGTAGCTGGGACTACAGGCATGTGCCACCACGCCCAGCTAAGTTTTGTATTCTTTTTTTTTGAGATGGAGTTTCGCTGTTGCTACCCAGACTAGAGTGCAATGGCACGATCTCGGCTCACCGCAACCTCTGCCTTCTGGGTTTAAGCAATTCTCCTGCCTCAGCCTCTTGAGGAGCTGGGACTACATGCAAGCACCACCATGCCCAGCTAATTTTTTGTATTTTTAGTAGAGACGCGGTTTCATCTTGTTGACCAGGATGGTCTCCATCTCTTGACCTCGTGATCCACCTGCCTGGGCCTCCCAAAGTGCTGGGATTATAGGCATGAGCCACCGCGCCCGGCCAATTTTTGTATTCTTAAAGTAGAGATGAGGTTTCACTGTTGGCCAGGCCGGTCTCAAACTCCTGACATCAGGTGATCAGCTCGCCTCCGCCTCCCATCAGAGGAAAATCTTCTGATATCTCCCTGGGATTACAGGTGTGAGCTACCACACCTGTCCAATTCATTCATTTTAACTGATCAGTTAATTAAGTGCCTTTTTTTTTTTGAGACAGAATCTTGCTCTGTCCCCCAGGCTGGAGTGTAGTGGCTTGATCTCAGCTTACTGCAACCTTTGCCCCCTGGGTTCTAGCGATTCTCCTGCCTTAGCCTCCTGAGTAGCTGGGACCACAGGTGCATGCTATCACACCTGGCTAATTTTTGTATTTTAGTAGAGATGGGTTTTGCCATGTTGGTCAGGAGTTCAAGACTCCTGACCTCAAGTGCTCTGCCCGCTTCAGCCTCCCAGAGTGCTGGGGTTGCAGATGTGAGCCACTGTGCCTAGCCTAGATCATCAAGTTTCAGGACATTTACTGAGTTGAGGATCCTTCACCACAGTGTAGTTTTTTGGAATGTTTACATCACCCCAAAGAGTTCCCCCCACCAGGCTCGTTTGCAATTAACCCTGCTCCCCCGGCATCCAGCCCCAGGATCTGCTTTCACTCTTTGCAGTTTTGTCTTTTCTAGAAATTTCCTAAGAGTGGAATCAGACATGTGGCCTTTGCATCTGGTTTCTTTCCTTAACATAATGTTTTTGAAGTTCATCTGTGTTGCTGTATCAGAAGTTTGTTCTTTTTCAGTGTGGAGTGAAAATAAACAATCTTGTATGGATGGACACAGTTTGTTTATCCATTAACTGGCTGATGGACTGTTGGGTTGTTTCCATTTTGACAACTGCAAATAAAGTTGCCGTGAACATCTGGGTATGTGTCTCTGTGTAGACATATACCTTCATCCTCTTGGGTAAATACTTGAGTGGAATGACTAGCTCATATGGTAGATGTGTTTAATTTTTTGTTGTTGTTTTTTGAGACAGGGTCTCACTCCATTGCCCAGGCTGGAGTGCAGTGGTACAGTCACGGCTCACTGCAGCCTCGACCTTCTTGGGCTCAGGTGATCCTCCCACCTCAGCCTTCCAAGTAGCTGGTAGGTACTACAGGCCTGTGCCACCACTCCTGGCTATTTTTTGTGTGTTTTCGTTGCGATGGGGTCTTGCCCTGTTGCCCAGGCTGGTCTTGAATTCCTGGGCTCAAGCAGTCTTCCCACCTGAGCCTCCCAAAGTGCTGGGATTACAGGTGTGAGCCACCAGGCCTGGCCATGTTTCAATTTTTTTTTTTTTTTCGAGATGGAGTCTTGCTCTGTTGCCCAGGTTGGAGTGCAGCGGTGCAGTGTCGGCTCACTGCGACCTCCACATCCTGGGCTCAGGCTTCAGCCTCCCAAGTAGCTGAGATTGCAGGGATGTGCCACCATGCCCAGCTACTTTTTGTATTCTTAGTAGAGACGGGGTTTTGCCATGTTGGCCAGACTGGTCTTGAACTCTTGACCTCAGGTCATCGCCCACTTTGGCTTCCCAAAGTGCTGGGATTACAGGCATGAGCCACCACCCTTGGCCATGTTTTAATTTTTAAGACACTGCTAAGCTTGTTCCCAAAGTGGCTGTACCATTTTGCATCCCCACCAGCAATGTTCAAGAGTTCCAGCTCCTCCTCATCCTCACTGACACCTGGTATGGCCAGTCCTTAGTTTTAGCCATTTTAACAGCTGTGCTCGTGTCTTCATTTGGTGTTTTTATTTATTTTTGAGATGAGGTCTTGCTCTGTCGCCCATGCTGGAGTGCAGTGGTACGATCCTAGCTCATTGCACCCTGGAACTCCTGGGTTCAAGCCATCTTCTGGCCTCAGCCTCCAGAGTAAGTGGAGTGTGCACACCACTGTTCCCAGTCTTATTTTTGTTTTAATTTGCAGGTCTCTGAAATGATGTTGGACAGTTTTTCCATGAGCTTCTTAGCTATTCATATATATTTTTCTTTAAACGGAGTCTTGCTCCATCACCTCACCCAGGCTGGAGTGCAGTGGCTCGATGTCGGCTTCCTCCAGCCTCTGCCTTCCGGGTTCAAGCAGTTCTCCTGTCTCAGCCTCCTGAGTAGCTGGGATTATAGGTGCATGCCACCATGCCCAGCCAATTTTGTAGTTTTAGTAGAGATGAGGTTTCACCATGTTGGCCAGGCTGATCTCGAACTCTTGACCTCAGGTGACCCACCCTCCCGGGCCCCCCCACAGTGCTGGGATTACAGGCATGAGCCACTGCACCTGGCCTGTTGTGGTTTTTGTTTGTTTTGTTTTGTTTGAGGCAGAGCCTCACTCTGTTGCCCATGCTGGCATACAGTGTCATAGCTCCTGGGCTCAAGCAATCCTCCTGCTTCAGCCTCCTGAGTAGCTGGGGCAATAGGCATGTACTACCACACCTGACTAGTTTTTAAAAATTGTTTTGGGCTGGGCACAGTGGCTCACGCCTGTAATCCAGCACTTTGGGAGGTTGAGGTAGGTGGATCACTTGAGGTCAGGAGTTTGAGACCAAGCTGGCCAACATGATGAAAACCCATCTCTACTTAAAATA